CCCTTTCCCTCTCCGTGCTCCAGGGAAGGAGACACAGGGTTGGCAGCTGTCTGGGATGGGCGGGAGGGGCTGGCCCCCTGGCAAAGCTCTGGCAGATCGGGGCTGGCTCCAGATGCCAGCTGCTCTCTGACCTTAAAATGTGGATGGATTTTTGGCTTTAGTCTGGGGCCCTGACTGCAGTTCAGGAACACCAGGAGAAGCCTCACTCAGTGTCACAGGTGGCAAACACAAGGCCCTCGGGCCGAATCCGGCCCCCACCTTGTTTTATCCGGCCCGGCACCTTGTTTCTACCTGGTGGCAGCGCCGAGCTCCTTGCCCCTAGTTGAGGAGCAGTGACATGTATACAGTCCTGAAGTTACATTCGGCCCTTTGAAGGCAACCGCAAGGCTGATGCAGCCCCAGGTGACAATGAGTCTGACACCCCTGCTGTATATGTCCTAGTAGCTTTGCAGTCACGCAAAACTTGCTTCAAAACTGAGCTCTGCTCCTTACCACTGAGTCTCAGTTTCTTCACCTAGAAGCTCCTTCTTGGTGCTACTGCGGTGACAGAATGAGCGAGGGCCACGTGGCTCCCACACACAGGTGACCGGCTGCACTGGTTCCTTTCTCGTCCTTCCATCCCCCGGGCCCACCCTCTGCCCCTCTGTGCACGCGAGTATCTGGGGACAGAGGTAGATATGGCGTCCGAAGCCCAGGCCTCTGACACCGGTGGCCCTCGAACCCACGTCGTGCTGGTGGTGCAGAAAAAGAGCTTGGGGACGTGCATCCTCCCCGCTCAGCAGCCAGCGTCCTGAGTCCCCGTCTGACTCACCAGGCCGTCCTCGCCGAGGGTGTCAGGTACGGACGCTCGGCTTCCTGCACACGCCTGTGTAGGTGTGCTGTTACCAGAAACCCTGCCGAGCGCTCCCCGGCGCGCTACCGAAATGACTGGGATGAAAGAAAAGAAAGAATGAAACAAAGAAATGCAATTGTTTTTATGTTTTACCATCAAGAATATCGTTCTAGTTAAAATGAGACCATCCAACTGAGCACAAACAAATTTACATAAAAGAAGTTTTGACGCTGATTTCTAAACTGACTGGGGTTTACCTGATAAAATCTACAAAGCAGAATATTTATCCTCAAAACACATCAGCTGCACATCATCATTACTCATGCTTTCGCACCCTCAAATATGGCAGATTTTTAAAAAGCTAAATAGGTTGAGAGCTTTTTAGGATACCTGGGCTCCATGCTTAGAGACAGAAAAGTTAGGTCAACTGCTCACTCAACAGCCACCTGTTAGACTACTTAGCTAAAGAGGCTTCTCTGCTGCTTTCAAGTTGAGAGCGTAGCCGAACAGAGGAGAAGCGAAGTGAACACACACACAAAATCACCCTCCAGCAGCTTCCTACCCTCCCCCCGCACCTCCAGCGGCCCCCACCAGCTGCCCCGGCTGAGGACACCCCAGCACCACGGCCACCATTCCCTCGACCACAAGGCAATCTTAGAAAGACCCGCTGTGTGTGCCCGGCAGGGGAGTCTACAAGAGTCAGAGAAACCGTGAATCACTGTCTCTCCGGGTCTCGCCATCTGCAAGACCCACACAATTCCGCGCTGACCTGTCACATTCACAGGTTACCAGCAGCTTCTGTAAGTCGCCTCCGCCAGAGACGGTGATCAGCTGCCCCGGCACCGCCCGTGGCCGGGTCCTGCTCCCGTGCGCAAGCACACGCGCACACGGGCGGAGCAGAGAGGCCGGCGGAGTGGGTGGTGGACTCCGTGCGGACTCTGATGGACGCAGACGCCTCCAGCAGCTGTGACGCGCCAGCTGAAAGGGTCCCAGGAGCTTTGTGTGTGCGTGGAGATGACGGCCGGCCGTCTCAGTGACAGGGCGGCGACACGGAAGCCTCGGGAGTCACTAGTCCAAGTCTCTCATTTCACCGACAAGGAAACATGGGCCTTTGCCTGTGTCAGGAAAAACTCGGAGACTTCTAAACAGGCAGGAAAATAGCACCGGGTCCCCGTCTAGCCCAGCCTTCCACGTTGCCTAGGCCCATAGGTGTTCACAGCCAATCTTTAAGCTACTTGATAACTTAGTAAGTCTTAGAAAACTTAGAGTAATGCAAATATTTCTTGTCCCTGAAAGGCCAATGAATATTTTCACGTGGAATTGAATGGATTAAGCACTGTGGATACTGATAACTTTTACATCCACTTGCAAATTCATTTCAGCATGCTTAATGGCCCATGTGTGTGTGTGCGCCTGTGAGCCAGTAATGTCGTCTGACTGGCTCCTCGCTAGTGAGTGCACGGAACAGAATCGCCACCACCAGCTCAATGCCCCATTTAGCACGTGGAGGGGCAGGCCGGATGGATGCCAGAGTTGTACTTTAGGGGGTCCGGATATGAAGGGGGAGGGGGTGGGCCGGACTGTCTCCTGTCCTCAGATGATTGTGGGAGAAGAAAGGAGACAGAGGCAGCAGAAGGCAAGGGTCGGACGCAGGTCCCAGCGCCAGTTCCAGAATGGTGAGTAAGCAGAGCTCTATAGCTTCCCTGGCACGGCCCGGTGCTCCTGAACCGGTCTGTGGGTGGGAGCCTGTGCACACTCGGGCTGAAAAACCATGGTCCTAGAGGCACTAAACACTTAGAGACTGCTAAAAAGAGAGAGGAGAGATGAATTAAATGGGGCAAGAAGAAAACGCCCTACGACTCTGATCTAGTTCCAGTTCAACAGGAAATGACCCACGGAAAACTCCACCCTGGTGGAGTCTGGTGTGATGGCCTCAACTGCGGGTCCAGCTGGGCAGGACCCCCCCCCCCAACGCCGGGTTTCATTCCCGGAAACTGCCGGAGAGGGTGCTCACGTGGCTGTCCCAGCATGGTCAAGGCCTCGCCCTTGATGCCCATTCTAACAAGGGCCGCCCACTCCCCCCAGCAGCCCCACCTCCAGCAGAGCAGAATGGAAGTCAGGATGGAGCCTTCTCCGACGGGGACCTGTTTATTTTTACAATTAACAAAGAAAAACTGTTAGTCTCTGAGATGTGTTGGTTGGTTTGGTGATTCAGAACTTAAACTTAAAACACGAGTCACTAGTACTAAGAGAGGAGTTGCCCCCAAGCTTCCCCCATCCTGCAGAAGCCAAACTTTTTCACAACAGAAAAGAATGTACCCTTGAAAAGCGCAAGGAGGCAACCTGGGAGCAGGGAGCAGGCCACTGCCAGGCGCCCAGGGCCAGATGAACTTGAACTCTACAGCACACTGACTGCCCCTCTGGTCTTAAAGGTCGGAAGAGTTTCAGTGCAACCGAATGAATGAATGAGATCACAGAAGACTTGAACTCTGTAGATCAGTCGACACTGGCAGCTCCCAAATTCTCGGGCGCTAGGTTCGGCGTCCACTGTGGGGTCAGTGAGCTCCTTTACATTATGTCTGTTGTGACCACAGCAACTGGCTCTGCTGCTCGGTACGGGCTCCAGACCGCGAGGGTAAGAAGCCCACGGCCTCTATGAGAGTGTCAGTGCCCTAGGGTGGCCATGACCAAGTGCCACAAACGGGTGGCTTCAAACAAAACGGAATCGCTGTCTCACAGATCCAGAGGCGGGAAGTCTGGAAGCGGGGTGTCGGCCAGAAAGGCGTCCCGGCCTCTACCCGGTGGCTGGGGGCGACCTTTGTCGCTGCAGCTGCAGGACTGCCTGCACGTTCTGCCATTGTTCTCCCATGGCAGCCCCTCTCCGTGCTGGTGGCCACGTGCTCATGAGGACAGCAGTCCCATCGCACCAGGGCTCCACCCAGTCCCAGCACGGCTGCACGCTAGCGGATGGCGTCAGCAGCAACTCCACTTCCAAATGAAAGCACAGGCGGAGGGGTCTGTCCCTTGACTGGCAGGAGAGGCGAGGGGCCTGGGCTGGCCCCCCTCGGGCAGAAGGGCAGGGGCCGACTTGGAGATGACCAGGAAGGACACACCTGGGTGAAGGGGGGGAGGTCCCGATGAGGGAGGGGCAGACAGCGGGGACGTGAAGTGCAGTAGGGGATGCGGAGCGGCCAAAGAACTCACACGCGTGACCCACGGACACGGACAGTCAGCGGGGAGGGGGGGCTGCCTGAGGAAGTGGGGGGTGCTGAGTGGAGGGGGGGAAGGGGGAAAAATCAGGACAACTGTGATAGCATAGTGAATAAAATAAACTTTTTAAAAAAGGGGGCCGACAAATAGAGCAAGAAAAACTAAGAAATGTCACCTTGATTTTTGTCAACACTAGATGGAACAACGAAAGCCCTTAGAACAGAACACCCTTTGGGTGATCAAGGAAACTAAACTCACACAAAAGTAGGCCACAGGGAAGCGTCAAGGCCAAAGCCACACAAAGGCACCGTGTGCTCTCAATAACAAGTCCTGTTTGAGAATTTTTCACATCTTGTGAGGATGAATTATTTTTGTCACTTTCAAATTTCATGAGGAGATAGAATTCTAAATCTTGACAAATTATGAACAATTTTAATGTAATAATGAATGTAGAGAAAAAATAAAATAAAGTAATTGTTAAAATATTTAAAACATTTACTTTCACCAGTCAAGGCAGAAGGGCAGGGGCCGTTTAATTGGTGACTACGAAAATTATTATAACACTCTAAATTTTTCATTATTTTTCAAACCTTTTCTTGATCCCTAGCCCTGTTTCTCATTTGGTTTTGGCCTTAACTTCAGCCAAACACAGGCTTGAACTCTCGGCCCGTCAGCACTTGGGAAGCACACACCAGTGCCCCTCAGCCGCGTGAGAGCCACGTGAGAGCCACGGTGCGCGTGACGGGCAGCGAGCACGGATTCTCAGGGAGCTGCTTCCTCCGGAAAGAGAGGGGGAGGGGGCCGGTCTGCACACCCTCAACCCCTCTGTCCGGACTCGTCACCCTGATTATGTCTTTATCAGTGACCCACTGCTGTGTAAAAACCACCTGAAAATTCAGTGGCTTAAAACAATAGGCTTATCTATTCGTAATACTGTGGGCTGTGTTCACAGTATTACGTATGTTCAGTGACACATACCCTGAAACTGGAAAAATACAGGGAAGACTGGCGGGACCCATGCACAAGGAGGACATGCAAGTCCATGAAGTGTTCCACACTTTTGAAGGGGTCAGTTCATCCCGAAGCTATAGCAACTGTAAATATAGACACGCCCAACACTGGAGCACCTGAATATACTAAGCACTAGTAACAGCTCTGAAGGGAGAAACAGACAACAACAATGCGATAATGTTATGGGACTTCAATACCCTACTTCCAACAATGGATAGATCCTCCAGACAGAAAATCAGCAAGGCATGTTGGAGCTGCACCCAGCAGACGTTTCTAGAACATCCGACCCACCAGCAGTAGAACACCCATTCTTCTTCTCAAATGCGCTAGAACATGCTCCGGGATAGGTCGTATGATAGGCCGCAAAGCAAGTCGTAGAAATTTTCAGAAGATCGAAATCATACCAATTATCTTTTCCAACCACAGTGATATAACTAGAATCAACAACAAGAGGAAAGTTGGAAAATTTACGCGCATGGGGAAACTAAACAACACACACCTGAACAATTCATGGATCGAAAAATACATAAAGAGAAATTTAAAAAAACCTCAAAACAAATAAAAAGGGAAACAGAGCACTCCGAAATCTAAAGGATGTTGCAAAAACAGTTCTGAGGGGGGAAGTTTATAGCAATAAATGCAAATGTTATGAAAATAGAAAGATTTCAAATAAACGACTTAATTTTATACCTCAAGGAACTAGAAAAACAAACGAAGCCCGAAAATTACCAGAAGGAAGGAAATAACAAAGATTAGAGTGGAAATAAATGAAATGTAGATCAGAAAAACAATAATAAAGATCAATGAAACTAAAAGCTGTTTTTTCTTAAAAAAAGAGAGAGAAGACTCAAATTCATAAAATCAGAAAGGAAAAAGAAGACATTTTAACCGATATTACGGAAGTTTATAGGATCATAAGAGACTGCTCTGAGCAAATGCGGACCCACAAATTGGATAAGCTAGATGAAATCAACAAATGCCTGGAGACATACCACCTGCCATGTCTGAATCAGGAAGAAAGAGGAAATCCTCACACACCAATAATAGGCCACAGAAGTGAATTGGGAATAAAAACCTTCCAACACAGAAGGGCCCAGGCGCAGACGGCTGTAACGGTGATTCTACCGAACATTTAAGGAAGCGTCAGCACCAATCCTTCTCAAACTTTGCCAAAAATTAAAGAAGAGGGAACACTTTCGATCTCCTTCGTTTTAGGAGGCTGTGTTACCAGGATAACAAAGCCAGATAAGGATTACAGAAAAAATAAAACTACAGAACAATATTCTTGATGAATATAAATGCAAAAAATCCCCAACAAAATGTTAACGAACTGAATGCAACACTTATGAAAGGACCCTTACGCCATGACCGAGTGTGATTTAAGCCTGGGTGCAAGGGTGGGTCAAGATACACAAGTCAATAAATGTGATACACCACATGAACAGAATAAAAGATGAAAATCATATGATTGTCTCAAGAGATAAAGTAAAATCATTTGACAAATACAACATTCTTTCATGAAAACAACCCTCAGCGAATCGGACACAGAGGAAACACACCTCAGCGTAACAAAGGTCATGTACGCTGCAACCACAGCTCACCCCATGCTCACTGCAGAAAAATCAAAAGCTTTTTCTCTAAAACCAGGAACAGGACCGGGGTATCCGCTGTCACCATTCACATTCAAAATGGAATTAGGAGTCCTGGCTAGAGTAATAAGCAAGGCGTAAAATAAAAGGCATCCAAAATGGAAAGGAAAAAGAAAACCTGTCATTGTTTGCAGGTGTTACGATCTTATATGTAGAAAATTCAACCGAGAAACTGCTGGAACTGATCAAGGACTCCAGTCAAGTTGTAGGCATGACATCGACACACAGCAGTCGGCGGTGTTCCTGTACACTGACGACGAAATGTCTGAAGAAGATGATGCCGTCCACAACAGCATCAACAACAATGAAAGGCTTAGGAATGGATTTCACCATAAAAGTGAAGAGTCTGTACAATGAACACTACAAGGCTTTGGTAACAGGAACTGAAGACGACGCAAACGGAAAGAGATCTGGTGTTCCTGGAGAAGAAGGGTGAACATGGTTAGTATGTGCAGACAAGGCGGTCCCTACTGAAATGCAATGGCGTGTTCACAGAAGTAGGAAAGGCAGTCCTGAAACCTGCATGGAGCTACAGTAGACCCTGAAGAGTCAAAACGACCCGACAAAGAAGAGCAAAGCCAGAGACACGACGCTCCCTGATCTCACACTGTGCTACAGAGCTCTGGTCTTTACAACAGGATGGCCTCGGCATGAAAACCAGAAGCACAGACCGATGGGCCAGACTAGAGAGCCCAGAAATAAACCCACGCACACACTGCCAACTAGTATTTGACAAAGGAGCTAAGCAACTCAGTGGGGAGAGGAAGTCTCTTGAACAAATGGTGCCGGGAAAACTGGGTAACCACGTGCAGGAAAGTGAAATTGGGCTCTGTCTTCCATCATTCACAAAAGGTAACTTGAAATGGGTGAAAGGCTGGAACATAAGAGCTGAGACTGTGAAACTCCTGGAAGCCCCTTGACTGTGGTGCTGGTGGCAATTTTTCGGGCGTGGCACCAAAAGCTCGAGCAAAAGAGCAAAAACAAACAAGCAGGACCGCATCAAACTAGACGTGTGCTGCACGGCAAAAGAACCAATGAAATGAAGAGGCAGCCCGTGGGATGGGAAAAATGTTTGTGAACCACGTATCAGACAAGGGCTTCGTACCCAAAATATATAAAGAACACTTACAATGACAATGAAGATTAAAAATGGGCAGAGGACAGTAACTCACTAGTTATTTCTCCAGCGAAGATACCAAATGGCCGACAGGTACACAAAAGATGCCCAGTTCACTAAGTACCAGGGAAATGCAGATAAAAACCACAGGTAGACCCCACCTGATGCTGTCGGGGTGGCTGTTATCAAGGAGGCAGGCGGTGACAGTGCTGGCGAGGATGTGGGGGACAGGGGACCCTTGTGCACTGTTGGTGGGGATGTGACCTGGTTGCGGCCCTGACAGGAAGCAGTGTGGAGGTCCCTCAGAACACTGAAAATACAACCACCCTGCGATCCGGCCGTCACATTTCTGGATCCGTGTGCGATGAGCTCAGAACATGGAGAAGACAGCCGTACTCCCGTGTTCACGGCAGGGTTCTCACAGTAGCCGGGATACACAAGCAACCTAGGCGTCTGTCCGGGGGAGAGCGGGCAAAGATGTGGAGGCACACGTGTGTGTGTGTGTGTGTGTGTGTGTGTGTGTGTGTGTGTGAACACACCAGGGACTGTTGCTGAGCCCCGAGAAAGGGACATCCCGCCTCTGCGCCAACGTGGACGGGCTCGGGGCCACCACGTTCGGTGACGTGAGCTGGCACGGAAAGACAGACAATGCACGGTGCCACCCGGGTGCGGAGTCTCAAAATGCCAGGCCCACAGAAGCAGAGAGCAGGCCGGTGGGCACACGGGCCCGGGGCGGGGGACCAGGGAGGCGGGGCCACAGGGCGCAGACCGCACCCAGAAGGTGGGTGAGTGCGGAAGGCCTGACGCGCAGCGTCGTGGTCGCAGCCAACGGCTCTGCAGGGCACACTTCAAGACTGCCAAAGGCTCCGTACGAACTGTTCCCCCACGAGAACGAAACGACAATTACGTGATGTGAGAGAAGCGCCAGCTTCAGCGCTGGCGGTAGTCATACTGAAATAGATAAAAGTGTCAAACCAGCACTTGTGCACCTTACCCTCTCACAGCGCTGTAGGTAGATTACTCATGTGTCTCACTAAAAAGATGCCGTGGGTCACTGGTGTGCCCCGGGCGCGGTGGGGCCCTTCTGCTGGCCTCGTCTGGTCGCCAGCAGCCCAAAGGTCTGAGGGGCGCTCGCTGGCGTGGCCGGTGGCCGGTCTCAGCTGCCCCCGGGCCCTGCTCTCGTGTCTGTTCCCACCGTGACGAAGTCTACCTGGGCCTCTCTGCGCAGGGGCTGCAAGCAAGGGCTAGGGCGGGGGGTGCGAGGCCACTCGGGGTTGAGAGGGTCAGCAGCCGCGGCCATCCACCCCAGGCACTGTGTCCGTCCTCAGGGGAAAGCACAGGGAAAGGGCCGCCCGGCCTGCAGGGCTGGAGGCACAAACCCACCGCTGGGGCAGAAGTGGCTCAGTCCCAGGGCCCGGGGTCTGGGAGGGAGGGGTCGCTGTGACGGCTTTAATGCTCCCCAGATGAGTACGGGGCGGACAGGGTCCAGCGGGGGAGGAACGGGGCGGGTTTGAGGGGGAAGGGCCCGTTGTCCCCCCGCACCCCCGCACAGATGCTGTCAGACAGACGAGTCCCACCAACCCCTGAGCAGCAGTTTCACGCACTGCCAGAAAAACAGCACTAACTTGAACAGTGTTACTCTCTGCTTAGAACTTCATCTTTAAGTCTTCCAAAGTATAATCGGTAAATACGTTGAGCAGTGGTTCTAGATTTTTAGATTCTACTTTGCTGTTAAGCTTTGGTATTGTTGTAGAAAGTTCGGTGAAAGAGAGTTTAAACGTGTTTTTCTCTTGGTGTGGAAAGTCAGTTGAAGACTGTGCCGGGCAGGGGGCCCCGTGTCTGCACGCTCCAGGCTCCCGTGCGACCCCGGCGTGCCCAGGGGAGCTGCAGGCTCGGGTTCCCCCCCAGGGCCTCACGAGTTGGAGACTCCCACAGTTAGATGGTGTGGCGGAGGGCACGACCCCAAGGGGTTGGCGGTGGGGGGGGGGGCCCTAACCATGATTCACTCTGCCTCCGCCACCGCAGGGCCGGTGCTCCTCACTGCTGAGCGAGGCCCCTGACCCATCGCACCCCGTGGACTTGGCTGATGAGTAAGAGGAAAAGGACACCTGCGTCACGGGCAGAGGCTGAGGCGGGGAGTCGGGATGGCGGCAGGGACGCTCGCCGCTGCGTCCGGCCGCCGGGGAGTTTGCTGGGCAGCCGCTCCGAGCCCTCCGCTCTGGGCACGCCAGCACTCAGGAGCGAGACTGGGCCCGGGGCGGGGAAGGTCCGTCTCCAGCGCCAGG